TTCACTGAGGTAACCTTGACCGTTGAGCTTGCTTAACAACTTCCTCTGTAATTTCCCGTGCTCTGCCTCTTATTTGTTTTTCCTGTCACAAAGCAGGGGAAGAAACCCTGATGAAGGTGTGTATTTATGCTATGGAAGTGGGTACGTATGTGAAATTGCCAGCTGTCATCAGATTTATGTCCACCTTAAGGGAAATAAATGATCTGTTATTTTGAACATTGACAAACTCACTCTCTACTTTTACAAGTTAACAAATGCACTCTACTATTTTAACATAAATAAACATAAATTCCACTTTTTAGGCTTCTGTTATAATGTTTAGCCAGCTTTGTATAGTCTCAACACCACCTATTGCCAATATTACTTCATAATGACTCCGTGTCTTGCACTTCAATTAACGTATGCCGCTTACACGCCAGTACATGGTTAAATACCATTTGATGTAAATGTCACGATAATGGTTTGCCCAACTGTGACCTGAGACATTCTGTTTCGGGTCAGGGTTATAGGCGCCACTTTTGGCTATTGGTGGAAACCGTTGTGACTGAGAAGGCCATTTCCTGGCAATTTTTCTGCCTTTAATGAGGCATCATCAGTCAAAGACTTTCCATTCCTGAGCCGAGAATAGCGCAAACCGTTTCTGATGGTCTTGAACTCACAAGGGAGGAAAGATGTATTTATAGACTTTATTAGCAGCAAGTCTAATCCAGCTCAACAAAGGTGTACTTTGCATGCTTTGGAAGTCAAAAAATAGTTTAATAGATTCACAACGAATTCCAGAATCATTTAACACTTGACCTATCAATATAGATTTGAATTAGGCATTTTCATAAACTATTACTCATTTCAGTGTCAATTAGACGTGTGTGTGTGTGTTTGCCTTGTTTTATGATATATCAATGCAAATTAGTGGTCCATATTCAAGCAATGTGCTTTGTGATTGCCAGTCACACACTACTGAACTGTATACATACTCTAAAGCAAAACTGTGGGGGTGAAAAGTGGATTCTTCCTGTGGGGGTGAAAGTGGATTCTTCTTTCCGATATTAGGAGTCCACTTGAGCTATACACTTTTAAATCTATATTGAAAAAAAAAACATTTAGAAGTCATTTTTGTGTTATGTTTGTTGTCCTTCAACTCCGCACCTCCGATGAGCATGGTTGGCTCTGTACGGTGCGAAATTAGTTGGACATACGCACACGTAGTGAAGATATCAGGATGCTAAACATGTAATGAGTAAAGAGTAGCCACGACATGAATACGCTACAAGTGAGACGGATGTATAATTACATTATTATATTCTTGCAGGTGGCAGACTGTTTAGGAGCTCAATGACAATGTTGAGGTCTGCTAGTCACGAAAGGACTTCAGGAGATAGTCCATGTCCTGTTACTGCTATTTCTACGTTGAAGGAGGGTAGATTACAGTGGTTTACTAAATGCTCCATAGTTTCGGTTGCAAGGCCATAGCTGCACTGTGGCTGGACTGTAATTTAACATTCATGAAGTAGATGTGTGCATCGGCCTGTTGATGTTTTGATGAGTTTCATTCAACTATAGCACTGTCATGGATTTGTCAATAACAAAATTATGGGGAGAGGTGCAGTCTGCGATACTTTTCACCTCAGTGAACACATTCAAGAGTAATGCCTCTGAGGTATGCTGCTGATTGCCACCTTTGAAATTGCTCACAATAAGTCAGGGTGCACCTGGTGTGTGCACGTTGGCCAGCTCAGGTGTACCGAGGCAGATGTCGATACACACGGCCAATCCATTTGGCTGCGAGATCCGTGCAGCACAATCACGCATTGACCCAACAGGACCACAACGAAGCGGGTTGGAGTTTGGAATTCCATTCAAAATCCTGAATATTGCATTGGACTGTGTTGAAATGATATCAAGCATGTTTTTGTTGTAGTAATGATGATGGTGAATGCAGCAGTTAAAATAATTGCCATACTTGAGATGGCCAGGTGGCTTGGAGGTCGGAACGCTGAACTGGCAACGCTGCGTTCAAATCCAGTGAGCTGCCTGTGGTTAAGCTGATGGCTCTCAAGTGGAGTGAACTGATGGGCTCAGTCTGGTCACTGATGACTGCACAAAAAAAACCGATCACATTCAATTTGGTTCTGCACTTAATCTGGCTAATTGCAGCTTTGAGAATTAAAATATTGGATTGATCATGTTAAGAACATTACTCCTATATCCAGTGCTGCCCTCTACTCTGTGGATTAGAGGTGGCTCTCTGATGTCTGCTTTTGCGGGCTGTATTCTGTTGTGAAGGAATTTCGATTGCTTTGTGAGTGCTAAATGGATTCTTTATCTCATGACATGACGTGGATATCACAATCACGAAAAAACTTGGGAGAAATTACATTTAAAACATTCCATACAAACTTCTAAATGTAACATTTATTAGTATTTATCTTGATTTTAACATTTTGCCAACAACTGCTCGAAACAATATAATTTTGAAGGCCACACAATTATTAAATAACGAATTTATATGATAGAAGCATTTAGCGTGTATACAAAATTAAATATGCTGCCTATAAACAGTACAGTTATAACATGCGATGTAAATTAAAGCCAGGCTCTGGCTTTATATTTAAAAACTGTAATTAATGGAATCAAGCCTGACTTAAACTCCAATGAAAGCAACCATTTGGTATACATTTTCAAGCAAAACATAATTGCCTAATTATATAATTATTAGAAAAAACACGCAAGAATGTTTATGATAAACTCTAACCTCAAGGCATGCAATTAAATGCTGGCAAGTGTGTCATGTTGGAAATGTGTCATGCTCAACAGCTTTGCACCACCGCCTTCGGCTGTAACACACAGACACAATGCGGCTGTAACACACAAACACAATGAGGCTGTAACACACAGACACAATGCGGCTGTAACACACAGGCACAATGCAGCTGTAACACACAGACACAATGCAGCTGTAACACACAGACACAATGAGGCTGTAACACAGACACAATGAGGCTGTAACACAGACACAATGCGGCTGTAACACAAGACACAATGAGGCTGTAACACACAGACACAATGCAGCTGTAACAGACAGACACAATGTAGCTCTAACACACAGACACAATGCAGCTGTAACACACAGACACAATGAGGCTTTAACACACAGACACAATGCGGCTGTAACACACAGACACAATGCGGCTGTAACACACAGACACAATGCGGCTGTAACACAGACACAATGAGGCTGTAACACACAAACACAATGAGGCTGTAACACACAGACACAATGCGGCTGTGACACACAGACACAATGAGGCTGTAACACACAGACACAATGAGGCCGTAACACAAAGACAGAATGAGGCCGTAACACACAGACACAATGCGGCTGTAACACACAGACACAATGAGGCTATAACACACAGACACAATGAGGCTGTAACACACAGACACAATGCGGCTGTAACACACAGACACAATGAGGCTGTAACACACAGACACAATGAGGCTGTAACACAAGACACAATGAGGCTGTAACACACAGACACAATGCGGCTGTAACACACAGACACAATGCAGCTGTAACACAAAGACACAATGAAGCTGTAACACACAGACACAATGAGGCTGTAACACACAGACACAATGCAGCTGTAACACACAAACACAATGCGGCTGTAACACACAGACACAATGCAGCTGTAACACACAGACACAATGAGGCTGTAACACACAAACACAATGCGGCTGTAACACACAGACACAATGCGGCTGTAACACACAGACACAATGCAGCTGTAACACACAGACACAATGAGGCTGTAACACACAAACACAATGCGGCTGTAACACACAGACACAATGCGGCTGTAACACACAGACACAATGAGGCTGTAACACACAGACACAATGCAGCTGTAACACACAGACACAATGAAGCTGTAACACACAGACACATTGAGGCTGTAACACACAGACACAATGAGGCTGTAACACACAGACACAATGAGGCTGTAACACACAGACACAATGAGGCTGTAACACACAGACACAATGAGGCTGTAACACACAGACACAATGAGGCTGTAACACACAGACACAATGCAGCTGTAACACACAGACACAATGAGGCTGTAACACACAGACACAATGCAGCTGTAACACAGACACAATGCCGCTGTAACACACAGACACAATGAGGCTGTAACACACAGACACAATGCGGCTGTAACACACAGACACAATGCGGCTGTAACACACAGACACAATGAGGCTGTAATACACAGACACAATGAGACTGTAACACACAGACACAATGCGGCTGTAACACAGACACAATGAGGCTGTAACACACAGACACAATGCAGCTGTAACACAGACACAATGCGGCTGTAACACACAGACACAATGAGGCTGTAACACACAGACACAATGCGGCTGTAACACACAGACACAATGCGGCTGTAACACACAGACACAATGCGGCTGTAACACACAGACACAATGAGGCTGTAACACACAGACACAATGAGGCTGTAACACACAGACACAATGAGGCTGTAACACACAGACACAATGCAGCTGTAACACACAGACACAATGAGGCTGTAACACACAGACACAATGAGGCTGTAACACACAGACACAATGCGGCTGTAACACACAGACACAATGCGGCTGTAACACAAAGACACAATGCGGCTGTAACACACAGACACAATGAGGCTGTAACACAGACACAATGAGGCTGTAACACACAGACACAATGCAGCTGTAACACACAGACACAATGAGGCTGTAACACACAGACACAATGAGGCTGTAACACACAGACACAATGCAGCTGTAACACACAGACACAATGAGGCTGTAACACACAGACACAATGAGGCTTTAACACACAAACACAATGAGGCTGTAACACACAGACACAATGCCGCTGTAACACAGAGACACAATGCGGCTGTAACACACAGACACAATGCGGCTGTAACACACAGACACAATGAGACTGTACCACAAGACACGATGCAGCTGTAACACACAGACACAATGCAGCTGTAACACACAGACACAATGCAGCTCTCTGTGTGACGTTTTGTCTATGAAACGATAAGGAAACGCAAACTGGTGAAGAAACGTGACTACAAGGAGCACGCCCATGCCTCAGAGAGATACTCATGGGGGTCCCGCGATGTGAACTCCCTAGCCAGGTGTACAGGAGGTCGTGCGTTCGATGGTGACCCCGACGCCTGCTGCTGTATATTTTGAGTTTGCGTGTCTCCCCATGGTCGCATGGATTTTTCTCCTGGTCCTTCGGTTTTCCCCACCACATTTAGGAGCGTTTGTTTAAGAGTAGTTGGCTACTATAAATGTCCACACGATAAGCCACTTCGTTGAGCTATCATTTGTGGCCAGGTCGCTTCTGAAAAATAGCTATACAGTTCAGTGGGCTTTACCTGGTAAAATTAAAATAGTTTAGTTTACTTTTAAAACCATGGGGGAGGTAATAATGAGGAGAGACCCAACACAGAGATGGAGATGCCAAAGGCAGGGGGGGACGGAGAGGAGGAAGTGAAAAGTGTTTGGATGCCTCCCGCGCACAACTCGAGATTGACGAGATTAAAAAGGGTACAGTGAGGAGTGTGTGGATACTGACTTACGAAAAGGGCAGATGCTTGCACGGCAATAGGATCCCACTTCTTATTTTATTTACCAGGTAAGGCTCACTGAGCTGCTATATAGGCTAACATCAGTGAGGAGTGTTACCTGAACCAGTCCTGGGCTCCTCCTTCGCTACCTGAACTGAACATTGTGGTGAAGTATGGGGAAACAACCCCTATCACTGACACGGCGTGGGAAGGCCTTCATTCAGCAGTACAGGACAAAATCAACTATGAATTGAATACCGGAAATGCGCATTATGCTAATGTTGTCAATGCTCAAGTTTATAAAGCTCTGTATCTGCCATAACTGGTTTGACGGTGAAGTCGCAGGGGCAATATGGTGGCAGGCTGTCCCAATGATATCCCTCCATCGTGCCTGGTCCCAACATCACAGATCAGCTGGTAGTTGTGGATCAAGTCCACCCAGTCTGCAATGTTCTGAATCCAAGTCTTAACCTAGCGAATGATTTACTACCGGGTGAGTCTTTGTGATTGCGCTATATGTCTGACATTTTGCTTCACGTGCTAGGAATCCAGTTGCTGATGAAGGCATCATGCTGAACACCACGAGGCACAACCCACGGATCACAGAGACGGAGTAGTCCCCCAGCTCACAGAGATCCTGGAAATTCGGCAAAATACTGTAGATTTCGATAAACTAATGTTACATTTTGGCAATGGTATTTATACAAATTGTATGTCTTTATGAATAATATGTAACAACTTTAACATACATATAGTATTTGATGTCCTAATATCACATGATCAGAGTTGTGATACAGCTATCTATACGCAGTGATGGGGACACTTTAATTATATTATAACATTCCACAGATTAAACAATATACCGTTAAACAAAGCATAGTCGCCATCCGCCGTGATCTATCCACGGCTGGACGAAGACTTCCTCATCTCGCACGATCTTGCGATGCAACAATCCACCGAGTGGCCACACACGGGTGGATTTCATCGCTCCATCTCTGCGGTTGCGCGTGGCCCACGGGTATAATCCACTCCATTGTTAGCCTGCGTCACCAGCCATCGTCCGTTACTGCGTAGCGCCAAGCCCAAGCCCATTTAGATTTCTTATTCTTATCAGTCAATATGTGCGACAACTTTCATTCCTACTACTTGTAAAGGGATGGTGGGAAAAGCATGGACCTTGTATTGTTTTTATTTCTAATGTTTAAAAAGTCCACCAGTATGTGGGCAAATGCTAAATACGTCTTTACCAGCTGCAGATATTTTTTCATGTCTTGGGAACTTTTGGGAACTAGATGTTTTTTTTTATTTTTCTCCTCCACTGGGGATCATTGGCAAAACATTCTGGAATGCATCAAAATTCAGCGCAGTTTTATTTATTTTTTCAATGCTGTTTGATGGTGCCTTCATGTGCCATTTCTTCAATGATTTCCTGGATCCTCCCCTGGTCATACAACAACAGTTGAGACAGCATTCTGCATTTTCATCAGGGCCATATAATTGAAACCAGTTTACATGGCAAAAGATTGACCATCATATGAAACATTCAATAAGAAAATCAGCAATGACTATATCTTACTGCGATCTAAGTACAGCATTTTAGAGAAGAGTACACATTACACAATTTATTATCATGCAGTACATTATGCCAATATATACGTAGTCACCTTCACATAATCTGTGTTTTTTTATAATTTGACGTAGTAAATATATGCATATTTGTGGGTGACATGCCTTTTAAAAACACAAGCATGCTGAAATAAAATAAAAGTGCATGGATATTCAACTGTGAAGTGTGCATGTGCTGAAAAATATACTGTTTTATATTGATGTCCTGGGTATACATTTCAATAGAACTAAAATATGCATACATTAAACACTAAAGCATGTTCAGTGCAGAATTCTCAGACATCCACCCAGCCACAAACATCCAACCCGAGAGGGATAATGGGCTACGTGGACCCTGGCCAGGGATGAAACCCATGGATGCACATCCATCAACCTGCTGCTCTCTTGATTGTGATATTCTATGGCTCAGTCACTCTTTATAGGTGTTCATGGTTGTGCTGCACAGCTGTGGGGAGCGGTAGTGTCGCGGTTCCTGCGGTGCGCTACGAACTCGGCGACCCGAGTTCAATTCCCGATCACGGCCAACACAAGTGACGATTATCTGAACCGTTTCTAGGCCTCACCTAGGTAGACTCAGCCTCAAATGAGTACCTGGTGTGGTGTGTAAACATCGCCACTGGGGAGACAAAGGCGGTCGGGCGTGGTGCTGGCCACCCTCCCTCTCGTGTGCCGTGCCGGCCTTCATAGGTGCTCACTCACAGCACTCGTCCCAACAATCTATTCAGGTTCTACGGGGGATCTTTGTATTTCCTGCGTAGCTCCCTGATGTGGACATCATACCAAACAACACACAGGATAACCCGAAAACACAACCCGAGAGGTCGAATGCAGTCTAATTTAATAATGCTGAAAATAAATGAGCACTGTATACTTTATTATTTCTATAATTTGGGTGGCAAGAAGGGCTGGGTTCAACTCCCGACTCGGACGCCGTTCTGTGTGGAGTTGGACTATTCTCTCCCTGTTCTGCATGGCAAAACAAATTCGTGCAATATAACTGGTATTGGCCTAACATCCCAATGCTAAAATGTACCTGCACATTACTCAATTGAGATTACACGTATCGACACATCACCATCCGCTTTGAAAACTGGGCAAGGGCCCTATTGAAAGTGTGAATGGAGATCGGGCTTTCCTGGTTAAACGAGCGGAATAATTACAGTATTAGAAATGTTATACTTTGCCGATAAATATTCATCACTTTTTCACGTTTAAGGCAAAGTGGTCATCTCTCACCATGCTCTCTTGGTCCTTGAGACTTGATGCTCCGAGTGGCCTCAGGCACAGGAGCTCACTGCCTCCAGGTCACCGCGTGACCGCTGTGGCTGGTCCCCCAGCGAGTGATGGATGTCACGTGCGCTCAGCAGTCCGGCCGTGTCTCCCGGCGCAGGCCCCACGTCTCCCATGACCTGCTCTTCATTGATGTCCCTCAGTGATATTGCCAATCTTGTCGCTTGTAGACGGACATGAAAGAGAATCAGAATCTTTATTTATACTGGAGGAATCTGATGAGCCATAAAGCTCTTTTTTTACAGATGTCCAGTAAGAGTGGGTGAGAAAGTCAAACAAATAAGCGGTGTTGCTATACGTATTTCTCTGTTTTGTATAAGACAACGACGTTGACATTGATTAATTTTGCAAGTGAAATTATTTGATTCGTTACGTATATATCACTCGCCGTTGTTGCAGAAATAAAGATTCATTGCCAGTTAGCAATGTCTCTATCCTTGCACAAGCAAACACACGCGCACACGCTCGAATTAGTTCGACTGTTTACTTACACTGCTTTTGTCCGGTGTTTGGTTCCTTGAGACCAGAGTTGTAGATGATTTCAATATGCTCAGAGAAGGGCCTTAACATCTCCTCTTTGAGTGTATCCTTCTTCCATTTCCACATTATAAACTTGATGATTGCAAAGACAATAATCTGTGGCAGCAAGAAAGAAAAAAAACTACTCATGTAACTTTAAGGGGACCAAAAGGCCAATTATTGCCATGCCTGGGATTTTTTAAATATTATTTAGCAATGTTGTCCCCCAATTGTGCTGGCGGCATCGGGCAAGGAGATGCGGAATCGATTCGGATCCCTCGCGGAAGAGTGCAACCCTCGGGGTTAGAGAAGAGCCCACGGAAATGGACACCAGAAAGATACCTCTGAGATTCATTTATGTGACCTCATATCTACAGAGACAATTCCTTCCCTCTCTGCTAATGAGAATCATGTTTGTTGCATGACAGCTACGCCGACGGTTAATTCTCAAAACTGTATTTTTTTTTCAAAATTAAATGCAGGACCAAATTTAATTACGCCTGGGAAATTGTCCATCTGAGCACAATTACCATGTTTACACGGAATATACAAAATCCTAACGCTCTGAAACTTCCCATAGAGCTTGCAGATCACAATATTCAGATCTGTATATTGTTGTGGCAATGAACTATTTTCAATGTTCCGTTCTGTAAGAATAAATATATGAAGGTTAATTTACCTACTTTTTAAAATGATTTCTAAAATTACGTTTGAAATAAAAAATATAGCAATAGTTAATGTACCAGTTACTATAATAATGCCTGTCTGTATGTGGAACTTCTTTCACACCGTACATAGCCAACTGTGCTAATCGAAGGTGTGGAGGAAGGACAACAAATTAAACACAAAAAGCAGTTAATATAATTATTATATTCATGATTTTACATGTTTTTTTTAAAGAGAGGCAGCGCAACAAAGCAACCTAAATATTTCAGTTAAAAATTTGAAAATAACGTTATCCCTGAGATAACATTGATACCGACTTCCTGAATAAGACGAAAATGGGAAAAAAAATATAAATAAAATCGGTTATGTCTTTCAGAAACAAAAAGTCACAATTTGTTTTCATCGTATGCACTTGATCACTCACGAGTGACAAAACGAACACACGGCATTCTCAAAGCCAGACTTTGTCCTTTTACCTTCACCGGTTGGATCAACACAACAGACATGAGGAAGGTCGTCAGGAATCGAACGAGCCAGCGGTTGGCCTTCTCTGGGCCCCACTCCATGCTGTAGAGAATCGTGAAGAAGCCAGAGCTGAGGACGGCGAGGACGATGAGACCCCATCCCAGGAATCTGCAGCCACCGGGCCAAGGGCCCCTCCAGGAGCTCTTCTGGCCTGGGGGCCGCTCGCCCTCCGAGCGGCTGTTGCGGAATATGAGCACGACCACGAGGCTGACGGGCACCTCCACCAGGCTGCTGAAAAGGCTGATGAGGATGTCGGTGAGAGACAGCGACCCCACCACGACCCCGCCGCCCGTCTCGCTGGCCGCTTGCTTCTTGCCGAACCACATGGCGTTGGCGATCATCATGAGGAAGAGCAGTGTGACGCAGCAGGAGATGCGATGCACGCGGGAGAAGTTGGTCTTGAATGGCCGAAGGACGACAGAATACCTACAACGAAAACGTTAACAAATGTGACTAAACAATACGTATTGGTTAGCTCTCAGATGTGTTTTAGAGTTTCTCCAAGTGTTGTTCGGCAAGACGAAGCTCTCGAGAGAAACGTTGGACATCGTGCTGCATAGCACGCGGTACAGCCATAAAACCCATTGGAGAGCAAGACAGCACAACCGCGAAAATCTACGCAGTAAGATTTATTGTTGCTGTAGTAATCTTTGAAGCCATTGAAGACATGAGGAGCTTTAGAGGGATGACACTCAGGTGTGTGCAGAATTTTACCAATGGAGCTCACACTGCCCATAATATATTTTTAATAACAGACTATACCTGCATGGACACGCTTTGGTTTTATGAGTCTAGATATATTGCGCATCAGTCAATCAACAGGTTAAAATATTCTAGATTTGAAGCTTTCGTGACTGCAAGGATTCAGTCTCTTTGTTTTTTTCCAGTAAAGTCACGTAGGTAAAATAAAATAAAACCAAAGAGTAGGTTAAAATATCTCTACAGAAGTGGTGGGCTTAAACTGACCACAGGTGCCCTTCTGTGAAATTGGTCTTGACGGCGTGCGAGGCCAACTTCTGGTTGGAGAAATGTGTGGAGTCGTCTGCGACCTCGAGCGTTTTGCCGTTCAGTCCAATAGTGATGTCTGTCTTCGTTGACGTCTTGTCACGGAAGGTATACCTGAAATAAAAACATTGCACGAAGTAATACATGGCGATAATTACCTGTCTCTCGCAAAAACAGCGTGCAACATCCGACTTTCATATGTCAATATATATTTTTTAAAACAATGCATTTATTATACCACGCAGATAAGATGATCATTTTTAACTATTTTAGACATTCCTGCAAGGCTGGCACACTTACTGGTGGTCATACATTGTTGTTGAGCGCAATGCTTGCATCAGGCACAGTAAGTATCACATATTTTTGATTGACGCAGCCCATCTCTTCATGCCAACCAATATTTACAGCTCTCTAGACATTTGAGTGGCAACTTCCACTGGGTACCTGGCTGGGATGTATTGTATATGCAGAGGCCGTGATACTTTCATCATATTTGCTTGTGCAAGTATACCGATATTCATCACTCACACAACACTTTGAGGCTCCTCATGCAGTAATAATATACAGTAGTAGATGTTAAGAGCTACTTGCTAAAATGCACCATATAGGGAATAATGATTCACTTCCACAATTCAATTAATTGTAATGATTTGGATTTGTGATTGATTCAACAATTCTATTTCCCATTGCGGTGGACATTAGTGGAAGGCGCCTTACAAATACATGTAAATTATTATACAGGATGTATATGAAATGCAGAAGATATCATTCTATCCCCCCCCCCCCCAAACTATATCCCGGTTATGTTGTTACCATCACTTCACCCCTTCCCCTTTCACAAACCAGCACGGACCAGAATTGTGAAGTGTGGTCTAACAAACCCCACATGGCATGGGGAGGCCTTCATCCAGCAGTGGATTGGCAAAGGGATGTAAGTAAATAATTAAATGGTTAAGTGCAGCTATTCAACAAAACATTTCCAACACAAGCTTCTATGAGTCTGTTACTGGACACATGCTCAGGCAAAATCATTAACGCTGACTGCCGTATCGTGACCCTTCTTCTTGTGTGGTCAACAAAGCTGCAAGTTACAACACTGAGTGTTTGCAGGCTAAATACATACTGGACTAGATAATGACATGCCTTTCATGAAGATCATTTTTTTTTGTCAATAAATGATAATACAAGCATAAAGAATCATTGTCATACTGTACACAATTCACACAACACTTGGTGATATAAAAGGCCAAATAATGTATCTCACACATTTCTTTTTTGCAAATCCAATACAGAAACTTCTCTGACATTCCAGGGAACGGTGTGGCCGTCACAGCCCAGCCATATTTTCATGCACGTTGGTTTGCCACTGCAGTGTGGCATTGAAAATATAAAGTTGTACACTTGTTTCCTCTTGAATTCCTGGTAATATCACAACAATTTCACGCTCAGTATAAAGCATGCAAAGTATTGATGGTTTAAATGACCCCAGGTTTTCCACTATTTTTTTTTACAAAATCCAAATGATGTAAAAAGGTTCTTTTTTTTTACATAACGGTGTACCTAAAAGCGTAATCATAATATGAAGCACATTGTTTTGACATTGTTAAATGATACAAAAGTATTGTATGCATATTCACTGTATAAAGTTGTAATGAGCAACATGGTTACCTTTAGCAATGGGTGGGACAGCTCACAAATTCCAGAATCAAACTTTTCATAATGAAGGATGAAAGACACAGGCGACGTTGTACGGCCGCTTGCTTTGTTGCTTGTCGCAATTCTTAGGAGCAGTTTACACGAGTACTTGTCTTTTTCATCAAAAAGACACAGAATCGTATTCTGCGAGAAGGAAGTTTTTTTGTACGTTAAATATCAGAGCAAAGCAAAACATTACGTGCAACAAATTATATAAACACTGCGAGAGATACATCAGAGGGACACAACTTGAAACACGCCAGGATATGAATACCCTGGGCACTGATTTAAAGTGGACGGATACCAATGTGATGAAATAAAGAGGTGGTGGATGAAAGTGGATGGAGTGCTCTTGTAAAGCTGAACTCGACAATGAGCACCGACTGGCAATGTTTTTCAAACATTACCTGGAAACATACCTGCTATCACATACGAAACAGATACTTGAACGCTGATGAAAAAGATGGAACTAAAGGTCAAACGTGCAAAGAAGCATGCAGGGATGGCATTCTTGGGATGAAACTGAGTGACAGAATGAGGAACACATGGGTTGGAGGACATATGCAGGTTAAAGACATAATTTTGACTGTTGAAGAAAATAACTTTGCTTGGACAAGACGAGTGGTGGGCGAGAATAAACCCCGAGTGACAGCCACAGGAAGGGAGTGCAGCTGCTGGGTGGTTTGTTGAATCGCAGGGCCGTGAAGGATAGTGGTGGCTTGGGGAAGCATTCATCTTGCGAGGGATTTACTAGAGCTGATGATAATTATAACATTTTCACACATAACGTCACGTCCTGTAAAATTCTGTAGGAATTGCACTAGCTTTGTGATTGTATTTTATAAATGTGTTACAGGCACAGGTGATTAAAAGGCTCAAGTGCAACGGTTATCTTCGTCACACGTGGAGTCATATCTTAACTAAGATACGGAATCAATCATTACATTACAGTGTATACACATCTAGAGATAGATCATGCACCATGGGCAGAGATGTTGAACGTGTTGGGCGTGCATAGTTTTTGTTAGGAGAAACTGCGTTAAGTCAAATGCTGTCCTAACATCACTGTTTTATAACCCTTTCTTGTAGCAATATTTTTACTTCTAAGCCCTAGAATTCCATATTATTTGGCAATAAAATTAACAATGTGCTGCACTGTGTGTTAAAATATTTGTCCCTGTGGAATTTAAAACTGACTCATGAAGTGCAATGAAAGTTTAAAATGTGTGATATTCTAATATTCAGCATTTCACAATTCCAACTTTTTTAGCTTGTGCCATCTGTTTGCAATATAAAGTAGATGACCATAAAACAAAAAAATAAAACTGCGCCAGTGTAGCTTTTTGTTTAAGTCATTGGTTGGTATATTTAACCCCAAGTAACCTGAATTTAACCCAAAAAGTGTCTCTGAAAATTATTGGCTGACCTAGTTTTATTGTCTGACCTCGTGGGTCTCATACTAAGAATCTGTGGACATCTGTGAAAAAGTGCTTTATAGCACATCGGATTGCTCCAGTATAATTAATATTCTGATTCTGAGAATCGTATATTTGGCCAGACTGGGTAAAAATTGGTGAAAGTAATGCATATCAAAGCTATGTGATGATACAACATGGATATCAATGTCACAGACACTTTTTTTGCTAATTATATTCATTTTATCCATTAGTCAAGTATTCGCACAGATAACCGATAGATTAATGGATGTATGGTACTTAAATCATTGGATAGCTCAGCTATAAGTGCGTGTAACATGTACAGGCTTTGAGTTAATCCACTGAAGATTAAGGGCCTCCCCACATCCCAGTGTGTGTCGTGACGGTTATTTGGCCTGGTGGATGAAGGAGGTGGAAATGTGCCAGTATAGAAGCTTTCTGCTCTCCACGTCACCCCACGAGCCCGATGGCAACCTGGTTACGCATTGATGTGGTCACCAATCCAAGCAATATGCAGCCTCAATTCTGCTTAGTTTCCGAGATGAGACGAGGTTGCGTGCATTCCAGGTTATTTGATCACAGGCAAATACATACATCAAAACTGTTCTGATGATTATCAAGCACATTACACCAGCCGTGGAGTTTGTACCTTTTCATTATCTTTCTCATCCGCCTTCCTTGCCCACAGTAAGACCAACAAGTAAAGCAGAACGATCATTATGACAGTGGAAAACACGGCACCATTTGACACGAGGTCAAATTTTGAGAAGACGGTGGAGAAATCGATGGCGTTTGGAGTCAGGAATTCCGCCCCCACAAAGACCTTTTCCTTGCCAAAGTTGACACGACTGTCAGGTTTGAACTCACACACAGTTCTGTGCACTGTTGTGCTAGGATGAACCTGCAACACAATACATTCGTGTGAATTTATCACTGCCACGATGACTGGTTAACATTGCAGCATTCTTATGGACGAATGCAATTTATTTTCAAAGCAAACAAAACTGAATGCAGAAAAAGCATTATTTTACAACAATATTTATCACAGTAATAATAACAACAATGTGTTTGTAATAGCAGGCGTAGAACTTGAAACAACATTTCAAATGTAATCAAACCTAGCACAGTAGTGACTCAATTTTGTAAATGTTCTCATTCATGCATTGAAATCTTAAGACATATTTTCACACTGGTTTTTGGACGATTCATATTCTACCGTGAGAGGCTGTTGTGTTTAACTTTATATGTTGATGTTTGCAGCATTACCTTGTACTGTAATAAAAAAAAACATTCAATAGTACAACTTGAGTTTTGGTTCAAATTCGTCCCTGCAGTATAAACATGCTTTACTTTTAAATTATCATTGCTCTCCATATCCTTTATTTATAACCAGACACGTGAACCGACACAATGCATATTTGTTCTGAAAAATAAATGATTACATAAAGGGGTACAGTACTTGATTGGTTGCTTTCGTGGCTGCAGGAATTACTCTTTGTTATTTTCGGTAAAGTCACGTAGAAATAATAAAAATAAAATGATATAATAGCATACGACGTTTCGATTGCAACACAAGCAATCATCATCAGGTACAGAATAGCTAAATTTAAGAGAGAGAGAAACACATAACCGCAGATATATATACAAACCTTAAGTAGAGGGAATTAACACAGACACACCAGGGGACACAGAGAGAGACGGAGCAACACTAAATCAAACAGGGTTTAGCAAAATTTGGAAACTATATAAAGCAACACAGACGGTCGGTTAAAACACAATTAACGCAGAGCGTAATCTACAAGACCATGCGTTAATTGTGTTTTAACCGACCGTCTGTGTTGCTTTATATAGTTTCCAAATTTTGCTAAACCGTTTGATTTAGTATTGCTCCATCTCTCTCTGTGTCCCCTGGTGTGTCTGTGTTAATTCCCTCTACTTAAGGTTTGTATATATATCTGCGGTTATGTGTTTCCTCTCTCTCTTAAATTTAGCTCTTCTGTACCTGATGATGATTGCTTGTGTTGCAATCGAAACGTCGTATGCTATTATATCATTTTATTTTTATTTTTGTATTATTTCTACGTGACTTTACAGAAAAAAAACAAAGAGTGAGCACAATACTCCTTTATGTAACGAATTGGCACGTTCTGTTTACGTGACAAACCTTACTAATTGGCTGTGTCGGGTGGTGGCGGGTTTAACGACACATTTAAATATTTACTCGATCTAACCCAAAAACACTGTATTATGGATATTGGTCGCGAAAGCCTTCGTGTTCAACTGACAGAGCAATGTGTTCACTACTTCTCTTGAATTGCTAACACACAATACATGCGATGTTGTACAATCATTGTTTATGAATGACGACTCACACGTGCCAAGGCATAGCTCCATTGATTATGGTCACTGTCCCATATTTTGCAGGCAGCTGTCCACACATTCAACTTGACAGACCCACTACTACCTACATAACCAGGATGCAACACAACATAAAACGGCACAGTATACAGGATATTTATCAAAACAGAAGAAAAAACCCCACAAAGCATTTGGAGAGATATCACGACATTCCGTCCCTACAGTTGTTTGGAGGCGTATGCTTGAGAAGTAACGTTCCCTCAAAAAGTCAAATAAATTTCCTGCTCAAGTAAACATTGAGGCGGTGCTCATATCCTCTTCACCGCCTTGAGCCATTGGTGGAAATTACACATCACTATGGCAGGGCTGAGTCTATCCATCGGACAACCACTGTTGACTTCCCCACAAAGTGGTAATCATATTATGAACCCCAGAGGGATGATGGGCCGAGTCAAGCCATAACCAGGATTTGAACTCATAAGCTTCTGATTGCAAGCCACTCGCTCTGCCACTGAACCACCTAGCCAGCTTGAGACTGTGAATAAAGAGTGAAAGTGCTTCTTGGGGCATGAACCTGTCGATCAAGAAATCCAAGGCACCACAACCGGTGTGGCCACGTTCATGCACACAGTAGTTCCCCAGGAATTTTTGGGGCTAAATTACCGGCAAAGGAATGTGACCATTAATTCACCATGCCAAGAACATGTAAACATGACAGCAGGCTGTGCAGGCTGGGTACTAAAGGTGAAGATGCTAGAGGTCACAAAGCTATCTTTAATTGAAGTCCCGGTATATGGGTCAAATGTACCACCCACAGTGCACAAAGGAACACAATATTACCCAGGATTTCCACCAACCTAGTCTAGGGACCATTTGTGGACAAACAATATGCACATAAATAAAGCTAAAATGTATATGCATTTTTTTAAGGCTTAGATAATTCTAAAATCACTTTAGTTTAGAAAGAAATGCCTCAGTGAATCTCAAGACTTTTTCACAAGGGTTTTGTTTGGGATGTTTGCCAGAATCCTCGTTTGGTATTCATGTGCAGAATAAAAGAAAAAAGCAATAAAACCTGCAGAAAGACTAAAGTTAGCACTGCACATATTGGCAACGCCACAATATGCAAGAGAGCCTCATTATGAATGGCACTAAGCCAACAAAACAAAGCCTGTAATGTGCAATCACAAACGATAACATAGTCTCATATTTAATGTGAAACAGATATACAAATACGCTTACTTTACTGTGCAAAAATGAGAAAAAAACATCGTGAACTTTTGTGACAGATGACAACGCTATCTCCACGTGTAGCCTTTGTAGATAACACGGAGTTATTACGCATTTCCCGTACAATGCTCACCGTTGTGCCGAAGGCCAATGTAATACTCTCCTGCGTTCGTATCGCTGCTGGGGATAAAAAAGTGATTTGGTCTGTGGTCCTGAACGTCACTCGCTTTGTTCCTTGAGGACAAATCTTCATCAGTGGCCACTGCATTTAGCTGAATCATGAAGTGGTGGTCATATGTTATAGGGTCCAGTCCAGGCAACTTGCCTTGCCATACTAAAATCTCAAGCCCTTCCACTAGGCTGCCACTGGAAAGCACTTCCATTATCACTGCCGTCCCAGGCTTGTGCACAGTAAGCTTCTTAACGCAAAACGTTTCGTTGTGCTTGAGGAAAAATTCGATCTCCTGTCCTGCTGCATCTCCATTATTCGCCACGGTGATTGTGGCAGAGGTTATGTTTAAGTCCTTCTTTGTGACGGATACTTTTAAGCTGGCCACCGCACTATTTGGCGCAGCGCCATTGTTGGTCGTCAGTGGATCTGATTTGAAAGACCAAATCTTCAGGAAACAAAAACATCAAATTTATATAAATGCAATTACGTCACCCGTTTTCTGTAAAGTTGTTGAATAATCTATTATGAACTGCATTTCCAAGCCAAACTTATCTTACGTTACGTTATGCTGCTGTGTGTGGCGTTTTACACTTCACTTACAAAACTACCTAATTATTCATTTTACCTAATTATTGTGATTTTAACACATGGTTACAGATGTGGATGCAAAGCAGACGATGGTTTTCTTTTAAATAATTACTCTTCCTTCAAAATTCTACCGTTATAGTCACAGAATGTGATTTATAATAAAATGATTTGCCTATTTCATCATTTATTGTTATGTCACCGAAATGTGTATTACGTATCCTGGTATCTGTACATTCGGTGGCGCTTAGTTTCGGTGGCGCTTAGTTTCGGCTGCGTGAGCACTGAGCCAGAGCTGGCTCCAGCTACTCTCAGATGGGGGGCTGGGGGAGGTAGTAAAGCCGTGGTGTGGGTGCACCGTGACAGTGATTCACCACTCAGGAGAGCGGACTTGGGTGGCCGAAAGCGACATCTGGTGGTGCATGGCCCACCCCAGCTTCTCCTACAATTGGCCCTGCTCTCAGCTATGCTCTAACATTGATATTCAATAGCATCACGGAGTACATTTGGTATACTGCAGTAAAATATATTTAAAAAACTATTTCTGTGTTTACACGGGAAACCCATTTAGGGTTTAGAAACTCATTTCATAGAGGGTCCAACTTTGGGATATTTTACCAAACTGTATTTTCAGTGTTTGAGAGAGACATGTGTTTCTGGATACAATCTGTATGGGAAAACACTTGAAGAAAGGTAAGATATTATTTTGCTGTGCTGCCTTCTATAAGTACAATACATCATTGCTCTGAAGGTGGGGTTCTTAAATCTCACCACCTCTGTCCATCCAACAGTATAAATTGGTACACCATAGTCAGTTAAGTGGCAGGCTGCTTGTGGTGGTGTAAAGTGTGGGTACTTCCACCTTTTGCAAAACATCTGACCAGCGTGGAAGAGTAGGCCAAATACCTTCCAGAAGGGCTCTCTAGAGCTCCCTCTAGTGGAAGCCCGTCCGCCATCATTTATGGGATCAACGATGCTCATCCAACGCTGCCCAGAGGTGACACTTGAAACCGAAACACGGTGTTTCTCACTTCTCTATACCTGAACGTTGACCTTGTCTGTGGGCTGCACCGTGCCATTCACGTTGGGCTCCAGGGAGGCTTTCGCCTCCACCGTCTTCCAAGATGCATCAAACAATTTAGAACCGGCGATCGTCTGTATCTCCGCTGAGACGGGGCCTGCACTTAAGGAAACTGGCTTTTCTCCTGGCACAGCCTTTTCAGTTTGCAGCTTCCCTACCTGCAGCAAGGTGTTGAACAGGTCGTCAAAGCCAGCGTTCTGTGGACAACAAAACATCATCACCGTTGTGTAGATTTTTACAGACGTGCTGTATAGCTCTCCGATGTCACTTCTGGTTGTAGCGCCTTTGTTGTTCTACATCTCACCATCGCTTCGTTCGTCGTGCCAGATGTCACGGGAAATTCCACAGCTGAAATCTTTCGGTAAAGTCAACTACGACGTTTCGATCGCAACACAAGTGGTTGTGTTGTGATCGAATCGTCGTAGTTGTTTTGTTATTTTCTTTGAACCTATCTACGTGACTTTACCGAAAGACCCAAAGAATATAAATTCCTGCAGTCACGAAACCTTTAAGTCAAGGTTGAAATTTGACCTCCAAGCTCTGGTGTGAGACCACTTGTGCAGTTTGACATTGAATGTGTGAATGTGAGTGCCCCCAATTATAGGTGGTACCATCCTCAATGCTCGCTTGTGTCCTGTGTTCTAGAATCATGGCTGGCATCGCTGGGCAGAAGTTTCACGCTTTGCATGTTGGGACTAAATTATTCCAATTTTCCACAATGTGTAAATGCAATGCAGCAAAGGTGAACGAATTAACCATGGTGGCAGTGTTGCTCTTGCTTTATCTATAAGCTATGTTACCTCTGTGATGTTGTGTATTGAGAACTAACGGCGACTGCATATGACTTAAATAATAATGCAGTGGTACCTTTGACTGTAGATGACATCCATTTGCAGCACCTCAGAGTAATAATGTTGGATAGAATAAGAAATGAAGAGATCAGAAGAGACTTAAAAATCGATTGACCAATCATAGAGAATTGTGGAACTCACACCACGCCATGCTGTCCTGATTCCCGAAGAATTCCACCAAACAAGAATCCAGAAAATAATGTGGCGACGCGAGTGGAAGATACGAGACGCAGAGGACGACAGAGAAGAGACGGATTGATGGAGTGGAGGAGGAGGCACTGGGATGAAGAGTAATGCCGTGGGAACAGGCGATCACACCGATCGCCCACAGGGGTGGACTTCTGCTTGCGGTGGACCCAGTGACTTGTGCAAAGGGACTGGATTGGAAGAAGAGGAAGAAGGAGGAGAAGGGGAGCACTCATTGTAAGACATGTCGAGCTGTCGTCGAACGTGTATTCACCACGCACCATGTGCATGCCCCCTGCAGGTTCCGCTCGAGAGCCATTCGTTGGGCTTCTGTTGGAATGCTGCGTCGATGAGAGGGATATTTCCAGAGCACCTCCAACCACACGCAGCACGTCTGTCAAAACACCTCCCATGAGCTCACAGCGTAAATAATTGTCTAACCCTACAATAATCCATCAGAGAGAGATTTTAAACAAGCGCGCCTCGTGAACTCGGAACGTGGGAATGTGAAGCAATGCAGAGTGCTTCCTTTTACCATCAGAGACTTTCAGCAGGCTGGCTTTCCCCACGTGCACGAGCCTCTCCATTTGTTCCACGGCAGTCTTAGCTCCTTGAACAATGGCATTCTTAAAAGTCACAAAGGAAATGCAGAAACATCCACTGACAAAGTTTCATGTAAATACATATTAAGATCACTATAGCACGTTACTTAATGTAAGAATTAAGAGTTTTACAGTTTTAAACGTTTCGTAGTGTTCATTTATGAGGTTTATAAATTAGACGGCCTATGAGCGTTGCTTACCATGTTGTCGACTGTGAATCCAGACGGAGACGTTGCCAGGGCTCCTAGCGAGTTTGTGTATTGCAGAACCTCATTGACATTATTCATTGGAACAGTTGACGTCATCAGTGATTCTATCAGCTTTGCTGTCACCTTTTAAAGATGTAATAAAAGAACACATTGGAAAAAATCTAAGAAATATACAAAGCACGTTTTTCAAAGCAAGATCTAATAATAGAAGCGGAGGGGCAGCGTGCTAAATGCCACTCGTGAAAAAGCAGTGAAAATGTCCGTTTTAAAATAATTTCAAACGGAGCTCTTGGGACTGCAGTATGTGTAAATATAACAGCTAGCTCAGTCTCATTATGTACACATTACTATTATGTTCCGAACATTAGCTGTACAGTACAATACAAAATATTTGAATCGTTTCTATTCGATACTAAACCACAATTAGCTCAATTTTAAATCACGCAAGCTGATCGTCTCATCCAGACATCACTACAGAACGTCATTAAATATGCGATAGATTAGGGGCCATTCATTGAGTACGTACGCATGGAGGAGGGAGTGGGGTTCATCCAAACGCCTTCGCTTGCGTATGGGGGGTCTACTGATAATGTGCGCATAGGAAACGGTGTGGGGGGGGGTGAAGACTCGATAATAATTTGTCTACATTGGCCTTCAAATGAGCCACAGTTGAGTGTCTCCAGCTGTCAGACAAGTACCAGCGGGAGCAGTGGGACTGTGGGAGAGGTGTCACTTGTATGCCACCGTGCCCCTGACTGCAGATATCACGCAGCTCAGCGGTGACTCTGACATCGTTTGGCGGCCTGCCCCATGGATGATCACACGTCCCTCAATCTCGCCTCACTGCACACTGCCGCTGGCTCAAGGTTTTAGCTGCTGCTGCTGCTGCCCGGACTTTTGATATGCACTGTCCGTCACTTGCACAACCTGAAATGATCAGGCGCACATGTCCCGTGTTTGGTGAGTACCACTCGTCGCAGGCCAGTGCGAAACGACACCAGCGCATTCACACTGCTGAGTCTTCTGGCAGTGAGAACAATCAAGAGCTGGATGATGATGATGAGGACGCCAGCGACGCTGCAGCTAACGCTGCTGTGCTTCAGCCTGACACTTCGCCTGTTGACGGAATCCCGACAACACGTGACCTATCCGACTGCGTTCAGTCGGAGTTTGAACCGAGCGGATACGAGACAAACTTTTTAAGGGTACGCAACTTAATTATTTAATGCAGCCGGCGGTGGGCTATCCGTTTGCTTAAACACGTTAATATTATTAATCCTTGATCGTTTCTGCGTGGATTAAATATCGGCCGTTCTATAGGATTCGGGGGGGGGGGCGGTGTAAGAAATCCGCGTCCGTACAGGGAGGGGCAGAGGGGTCACGTCTTGACAGACTTTTGTGTACGTGCTAAATGGATGGCTCCTTAGCTAACAGGGTGTATTTAACATGTTTTTAGATTTTAAAGCTTGCACCTCCTTGGCAGCGTTTCCCTCCGCTCTTGTGTGCAAAGTGGCCGTGAGCACGGTCACAATTCCCGGCAGCAAGCTGTCGCTCCTTTGCACCATGCCCTCGATGAACCCGCCCTGTGCGAGCAAGCCCCTGGTATTGTTTATCAGCTCTTGCATAGGAGGGATAAGAACCTGTGGAATAAAAACTAAATAAAGTTCTAACACGTAGTAGTCGTAGGCTTTCGCGAACATCATTATTTATAGTAAAGGTGTTTTTTTTGGGGTTAGATCGCGTAAATAGGAACGTGTCGTTAACCCACCACCACCCGACAGAGCCAAACAATTTACTCTGCAACACAGCGGTGTGCTGAGGTAGTAATTGACACGTTTTGTTGACGTGACAAGCCTTACTAGTTGGATGTGTCGGGGGGTGGTGGTGGTGGGTTAAGGACAGGTTTGTTTATATTTATGCGATCTAACCTAAAAGCCTTTATTATGAAATAAAGTTCTGCAAAACTACACTGATAGGAATCAGAGTGCATACATCGCGTTCGTCAGTCAAGTCACTGCAGCGAGGTGAGGGCCTCCCCGACACCGTCCAGGCAGTGAGGGCCATGTGACCATACTTCACCACACTGGGCAGTCGGGGTTGGTGAAGTTGTGGGGAGTACAGAGTCACAATGAGAGATTCTGCACGAGCTCACAATGTTTACAAACCCATCTAGCCACGCTCAAACCTACTGAGCTTCTGAAGTCTAATGGGACAGGGTGCAGATTGAGCTGAAAATTGGGAATATACATTTTTGTTAGCACGAAAACGCGTTAACCTTCATGGTGCAAACATCAAAATATCCAAGTGAAAGACTAAAAATTGTCCTTAAATGTTCCCAAATCCCAATGTTAAAATCAAAATGTCTTGTACCTGAACATAGACAGCGACCTTTGTGCACTGCCCTACAGCGTCGCACACTGCGGCCGCCAGCGTGAGCCGCCCGCCGGTGTCCGCGTCGCCCCGAGGGAGCAGCAGCTCCGGGGTGAGGCTCAGGCGGGAGCTGCAGAGGAGCTGATCGTGCAGGGGCCACTTGAGCCACCACTCGTAAGTCAAGTCGCTCGCCCTGCCGCTGCTGTCGCTGTCGCTAAGCCAGCCCTCGCACCGGAGCTGGAAGCCTGTGATGCCCGCCAAGCCTTGTGCAAACAAAGATTAAGGCAGATATTCGTCACCGTCTTTAACCGTGAGCAGGCATCGAACTCGGTTGGCCGGGTTCGTGGTGCAGTGTGCTAACCATTGTGCCACCGCTCCCAGCCTGGGCTGCGAGTGTACACAGCACAGGTCTCACCTGCGGTGGGCTCGCTGGAGCAAGAGCCGTTGTACGGAGAGACGCTGGTCACGAATCCATAGCTCGCCTCCGTGGTGACTGCTCCCTGGGCAGAGACAGACACCGTGGCTGTGTAGTGCGTTCTCGTCTCTAGGGCATCGGGTATGAGTGCCAATCCTTGCTCGTGAACGCCTGCAAAAGGAAGACGCGCATTACTTTGCTACGTAAAAAGATAAAACAGAAAACAATCAGTGAGTGATGTTGCGTGATGTGAGAAGTTGTAAATTATAATATGTATGTGATAGGCAGTTGTGACAACAACAAAAATTAAATAAGTAAACTATTAGTGGTGTTTAATGTCCAGAATTGTCAATCATAGTACACTTTTGTTTTTCGGAGCAGATGTCCAATGTTCAGATACTGCCAAGGTGGAATGGTTCGCACACCGGTAAAGCGACTTGCATTCCCAAGGGCGCAGGTTTAGTCTCCGAGTGAGAGAGTTGAAACAATGGGCACGTTTATTGAATCCCCCTGCCTCAGTCCACCCAGCAGTATACATGGGTATCTCATTGGTAGTTAACCTACAGGTCGCGAGTGGTGGGGTAAAGTGTGCGTATCACCACCTCTTCCAAGATGTATGTTGAACTTCTTCCGCACCGTACGTAGACTACCGTGCTAATCGGAGATGTCTGGTGAGCATGGAAGAGTAGGCCAAATATCTTCTAGAGGGGCTGTCCAGAGCTTGTTCTAGTGGAAGCCGTTAAGCCAGGTGTATATTCACTCTATTCAATGTTCACATATCTTATTTGGTTCTTTCGGTAAGGTCACGTATAATGAGAATAAAATAATAAAATACTTTACTGCAGCCCTCTTGTTTATTATATTCATAAGGATGATGTTTATTTTAGAACTTGCCAATATAATACAAAATACCATTCTCTCAAGTTTGCACTATGCTGCATTTCGCATTGTAGATTTATGATTAATTTATTCGTGCAATGATGTCCATCAATAAGTTGTTAAATATCATACTGCATTGCATTTTGGGTGGCAATAATGGGCTCAGGATATTATGTGTACCATTTCTAAACCTATCCTGCCATCCTGTATATATGCATTGCCATTAAGAATTAAAGTTAATAATTTCTTAAGTATATATACTAATACAAGTTCCTTGCTGTGAAAATAGGGTTTCCCCTTTTTTCTGGCAACAAAACAGGTGTTAAGATGTTAAAATACCAAACTGAAACCTTTTACAAAGAATCATGTCTGCATTAACCACAATTACTTGCGGTCAGAATGCAAAGAAAAAAACATACTCTGATAATATATGCATTGTCTTTGAAACTGATTGGTCCACACCAGAGACAGCTTGCTTTAGAGCCTCCTATCAAAAGGTGTTAGACCAGAGGACGCCAAAAGGCCTTATCAGAGTATGTTTTTTTGTTTGCATTCTGACCACAAGTGTTGAGGTTAATGCAGACATGATTCCTTGTGAAATGTTTCAGTTTGGTGTTTTAACATCTTAACAAAGCTGTTTTGTTGCCAGAAAAAAGGGGAAAACCTATTCTCATATTTTGGTACTGGCAAAGGAGGTCCTATGATGAAGTTCCTTGCTGTTTAAAAGTATCACAGCAAGGAACAGATGGGGTAAAAGCCACAATTACGCATTATAGAAATGGCTTACAATCTGTAAAAAACATTCAAGTAGTTGCGTTGTTTGAGAATTAATACATTCATCACCTGTAGAAGCAATTTCCTCCAAGTTGCTAATTATCTGTTGAGCCTTCAGTGTCCAAGAAAAAGCCACATCTTTAGCTCCACCGCAGTTCATGCAAACCACTGACAGTGACAGTGATTCTGAAGTGGCCACCCGATCCTTGCAGTTGTCATCGCACCTGCCAGGCAAACAATTACAATGAGCTCACCCTGTACACAAAGGTTTTCGTGAGCACATCAAGTACGTCACTCATTTTTCAATGGCAAATATATCTTACAATGAGACACTCAATAATACGTACTGAGACTCGTCTCTGCTTTCACAGCTTCTCCACATCTAACACGCAACTTTTGTATCTATATATACAAAGGGAAATTTGTGAATGTGTCTGTTAGAAATGTTTAGCATACTTCCCAACATGCAACAAACTTGAAATTTGGCATGTGGGTAGCTTCCAGACCGTACACAATGCAAAAAGTATAAAAAAATACTTTTGTATTTTTGGGGGGGCGCAATAATGGATATATTTTGCACGGCAAGTGAGCGGTGACGTCACATTTGTGATGTCACCCCCATTCGGCAGCGTCACGCAGTGTGCTTGCCGACGTCACCCCCCCCCCCCAACCCTCCGCATAGGCCCTGTATTCATCCAAGACAAGAATCCATGTCTCGGGCGAAGCCGGGTAGTAAAGTTAGTAGATTATAAGACAAATACAATTGTTCCCACAGAGGTGTCACACGCATTCCTTGCTATAATTATAATTTCCACTTGTAATGCGGAGAGAAAGGAACAATGCAGGCGTGAGGAACCACTGAGAAGCTGGAAGGCAGGGAGCCAGCACCAGAAATTATCCAAGCTCCGCAGTCCTCACTATGTCAGGATGTTTTCAGCCAATTAATGCGCATGTACATGCGAGATGAAACTGGAGCACCCTAAGAAAAGCTTATACATGTGAGAGGGCAAACATCTATCCCATACAGATGCAACATATGGGGTCCGCGTTTTCTCTACTGCATTCTCCTGGAAAGCCAGGGCATGGCACCGAGACGCCCATGGGAAGGGAGTTTCAGAACATTGTTGTGATCCACCATCCTGGGTAGTGACGACCACCTTATGTGCAAGGAGTGTGAGCGATTTGTATGTGTGGGCTGTCTCTCGATACTCCAGTTTGTGTCTACATGCTAAACTAGTAACTTTACAATTGAACGTCCTAAGCGAGAGACTTGCTTTGAGACTCAATGTGGGGTAACTGATTCAATCAAATAATATAATTAACAAAATAAAAACACACACCTTATATAAATATCCAGAACGTTGCCTCGGACAACATTAAAGGTCTGGGCGGCAGTGGCACTCAGCGTCCCTTTGGTGACTGTTACCGCCACCGTCAAGCGCCAGTCAGCCTCTAGCCAAGACTTCGATATCTTTACAACACCAGTTTCCAAGAAGCCGACTTCACACGCTGCCAGCACACCACCTGCAGACGCTTTAGTGCACTCCCAGTCGAAGTTCGTCTCTGTGAGATCGCGTGACTCGTCGAGATCATAAGGCCCCTCGGACGCATGGACAACAAGGTCGTGCCCTACGCCCACTCTTCTGCTGGCGCCACCCACGATGGCTACGACCAGACGCTCTGGCCCAACGGTGATGTTGAGAAAGTCTGTTTGCTCCTCGGTGGTCACCGTGCGGAGACTCGCCGTGACTCTCAGCACGTACTCACCTTCAGCAAAATACCTCGGTGGGAAATGCACACGTTTAGAGTTATGCCACGGAATGGAAGACACATTCCCGTTTGCTCTGTGTGTGATGGTCCAGGTGTATTGTGCATCGGTATAGGTTTGAACGCAGAACACCTTCAAGTTTGCCACCACATCCATGCTGTCTGATATTTCCAAAAGTCTTGTCTTACCCTTGCTCCGTAATTCATCTTCCAGAGTCACACTGTAACTGATACAGCCGTGGTCATTGACGTAAATGGTCTTGTCGTACGTTCTGTTGTCAAAAGCGGTAATTTCCTGAACTCGTACCTGGTGGGTGCCGTATGCCGAGAAGGTATGAGAGAAGGAAAAGGTGCCTTCGTGGTGCCCGCTTACCGTGCGAGACGACGGGAAAAGGTTCTTGCAAAAAAAGGGGCCGTAGAGAAATGTGTGGCCATGCTCAGGGGTGCAAATGTAGCACGCGGCACCCGAGAACGCGCTCCTTATTGTTATATTCACGCTTCCATCGGGCTTGAGGGGCTCGTAGGTAATTTCCGTGGAGCCTTGTTTCGAGTAGGGAGACAATAATTCGATACGTAGAGCTATCTCATTCTCCCAGGACAAGGGAGTAATTCGTATTCCGTGGACAAAAATGGGGCTTCTAAAAAACGTGTATTTTGGCGAGATGGCATCCACAAGCCCTGTGTAGAACTGGAAAAGAACAAAATCACCACGCGGTTGTGATAATTCGGCCAGGGAGCTCGGCGGTAAAGCTTGCAATCGGAACGTTGCAAGTTCAAATTCTGGTTGGGGGTTGACTCAACCCATCATCCCACCAGGGTCGAAACACGAGTACCACTTTGTGGGGAAATCCACCACAGTTGTCCTATGAATAGACTCAATCCCCGCCATAGAAATGTGGAATTTTCACCACTGGCTCAGGTCTGTAAATTTGAGATGAGAAGCACCTCAATGCTTATTGGATAAGGAAATAACTTTGCCTTTCCTAGGTTCAATTACAAAGAAACTACCCAAGAGGAATTAAAATAGATGCTCAATATTACATACATGTACACATTGTATACATGTATATTATTACATTCTTTTCAAACCAAAGTCACATTAAATCCGAAAGACAATGGTTGAATACAGTTTAACTCTTCAAATCAATTCACAGCAGTTGGGTTGCACGATATAATTGTTAATCGTATAATAAAAATGTTCACAACATGAGGATTGTCCCAATATCAGTTTAACAAAACTCTGTACTGTAATTATATTTCACAATTTTATTTTATCAGTTTTGTGCTTAGCTGTACTTCCAGTAGATCTAAAGATTTCTTAAACGTTCTTCAACTCTTGTGGGGGTCGAAAGTGGGAGTGCTCCTGCTATCCCTTGCAAGACGTCTCGCAATTGTGGAAGAGCAGATCAATGTATGTATGTATGTTGAACTTATTTTGCATCGTACATAGCCAATCGTGTTAATCGGAGATGCGGGGGGAAGGACAACAAACGAAACACAAGAAGCATTTAAAAAAATAAATGAGCCTGCTATCTTCAATACACCTAGAGAGGCTCTAGTGCTCTCTCTCTCTCGTCTAAGCTATTCCTCCAGCAGTGGATTGAGCAAGACATTGCAGAGTTGCGCATATACATTTTACTGTAATAATGACATGCCCGCGAAGAGAAAAAACGAACACCCACCGCTATGGCATCACGGCACCCGGTCGAGACGACCGCATCAATGCAAGTAACTAAGAGCGCAGTCACCCAGCTGGGTCTCACGCCGTAGCGCAGACCCAGCTCAGGAGAAGATCCCTGCAACATCATCCCCGTCAGATTAATCGCGGAACGAAAATCTATCTGCAGGAACTCGAAGCCGCGGGACTCGCGAGGTCTCCAGTAGCCCAGTGGGCTGTTGAATCGTGCGTTCCTTGCCGAGAAAGGATCGCCAAATTCAGACGACGCCGTTATTATGTCATCAGGGATAAGGCCAGATTCCATCCCAAGCGGCCTTCGGTAATCTGCGAACAACAGGGAAGGGATATACTCATGGAGGTATTCCTGCACATTTATAGGCTAATACTGAACTTTAATGACTGCTGGCGTTGCTGATATTTATGGTTTACAACTTAGTTCAGGAACTTGTGGCAGTGCAGCTTCAAAAGGGTTTTGAGCAACCTTAACGCTTGCCTATGACCAGAGCCACTAATCTTACGCTACAGTTGAGCTGGGAATGTAATGAAACCCCATGTGTACTTGTAATAAATAATACATGTTGTTTCAATCTGTAATCATAATACACTGGATTATTTTCAGTCTGTTTACACACTGACAAATATACAACGTACAGTATCCCATGGTGTTATGACTACGTTTGACAATAAACAACTACACTACCATTTCTGCGTTATGGGCTGAGCAACTGGAAACTGGAATTTTTCATCATGAATGTGTTCAAAATGTAATTTCCAACCATTATTCCTTTGCCATCTCACCATCAGCGTACGTGATTGTGTTGTAGGAAGCATTGAACCCTCTATATGTCACGCTCAAGTCAGACTTGAATTTTACTATCAGCGTATTGCTAAAAGACTTGTACAAGTAGCCATTAAACTCAGCATCTGTAGCCATCTGGTTTTCTGAAAGAGTAACTGAATCGAAGAATAATTCAAGTCTGTAAAGAAACAAACATAGAGACACAGACGAGAGGAGGACACAAGGAATCGTTATAGAAGGAATTTGCATGAACAACACATTCGCACCTTCGATTAGCACAGTTGGCTATGTACGGGATGGAGAAATTTCCAACACACAGTACATAGATTAATAGGAACTGGCTTGGTTTTTTTTCTGCACATCGGCTAACCTCAGAGTTTTAAAGTTACCACGTGATCTAAGTGATGTATTCAGTGGTTGGGTGGTCCAGAGGTGGACATTCGTGTATGTCTCAGTTTAACATTGAGTTTGAAACACTTACATACATTCATAGCCATATATACCATGGACAAGAGTGCATTTACATAGTCTGAAAACTCCTCACTACAGTTCTCATTCGCAGTACCTTACAATTGTGATAGATACTAATAGTGACCGAATGTTTCAGACAATTGCTGTACTCTGAAGCATGTTATTGTATTGTGTTTACCCACCTAGCCATCACTCATAGTCATACTATGAACTTCATAAATATACTTTGCCATATTGGTGTGATATATTTTTAAAATATACTGTACATTAACAGTACTCACTCCATGTCTACAATTTCTAACACGATGACAGAAAATGGCAGTCCTTCAATGACCCAGACACAGGAGGCGCTGTCCGAGTAATGCTGTGGGTAGTTGGGGCTGGTGAAAGAGCCTTGCGGTTCTCTCAGCGTGCCACCACAAGTGACTCTCTCTGTAACAAGAACACGAGGCAGATTTTAACCTCACCAACTGCTTTGATGAAAGCATGGAGTCAAGGCTATGACGCTAAAGGTGTGGGTGTCTGTATTGTTGTGCGGAGCGGTGGTGCAGCGGTTAACACGCTGGCCACCCACGCCCTCGTCGACCGTGTCCGCCTTCATAGGTGCCCGCTAACAGCACTTGCCCCAACAGTCTGTTAAGGCTATACAGGGGGGATCTTTGTCTTTGTGTAGAGATGAGCGCAGTGCGTGCAGTTGAGCGGGTGCAGTCGAGGGCGAGCAGGTGTGTGCAGGCTGGGGCAGGAGGTTGGTGCCGAGAGACGGGAGATGGGGGCGGTGATTCGGGATTCGGGATTCTGGAGAGGCGCCGTGGAGGCGACAGCTCAAGTGTGGAGCACGCGAGGACTTGGAATGAGGAGTGCGCGTGAGTGGCTGGGAGCTGTTCGGGGACCAAGAGATGAGACGTCTCGCCGCTGCCGCTCGAACCGTCAACGGGACCTGGCCCCTCACGCTGTCCACGGGCGAGTGTGGCTGGACCTCCCCGCCAGGGACAGACGGGCGAGTGGGTATGGGGCAGCGTAGGAGAGGGCAGCGGCGAGATAGGAGAGAGTAGGTTAGGAGAGTGTAGGTGAGGTGCGGAGTAGGTGAGGGCGGGTAGTAGGAGAAGCAGAGTGTGTGGTGACAATGGAAGCCAGCCTAAAACGGGTGCGAGAGTAGGATTAATAAAGTGTAAGCAGGTGACCTGTTACTCCGTGTCAGTGTGAGTAATATCAAGACACTACATTTGTGTTGCACAAACTCATTGATGTAACATCATATATTATTGCACCGTGCAACTGAATTGGTACACTTTAATTCTTCACTCAGTTGGCATTGTTAGTTCTTGTAATTGTTATATAATGTCCAATAAGCAATGGCAAACCGCAGTCTATTATTGTTAGCATCCTCTAATTTATAAATGTCATGGAAAAAAGTGGAAATTATCTTTATCAGAATTAAGGTATAATAATTTCGTGATGGTGAATGCAAAAAAAAAATACCATGAGATTCAGATGGAAGCCTTAAGCAGCTAAATCTGAAATTGTGGGCAAGTGTGCTTTGACTGCCAGTGCAGAGACCTGCCACAAATTAGAATAATGATATTATCGAGTCTGTCTCATCCCTTCACCTGATGAAGGCCGCTTGTGTTGTGGCCGAAACGTCGTGAGAATTTTATTGTGTTATTTTATAAATGTATTATTTTATTCTCATTCTACGTGACTTTACCGAAAGAACCAAAGAAGATGAATCCTTGCAGTCACGAAAGCTTTAAATCGAAATTAATCGTAATAAACTTGCTCCGTATTCAGAATATTTATCGATATACAAGCTATTCGACCTGGATTTATTTTCCACGTTAAAATAAAATGGAAATGAAGATGGCTCAAATTATATCTTACCAGAATGAAGTTCTTGCAATGCATTAGACATTAAGATCAAAACTATATATATGTGTGCAGTCTTCATGATCTGCAATGTAAAATTAATATGTATTACTTTACAGTATATACAAAACAGAAATTTGCTATAAATATATACACAACGATTAGCTACTGTGCCATGATCCTGACTACCCTGAGTTTGATTTCTGGCCACAGCAAACGTGAGTGGCAAGTGATGTATGGATCAGTCTTAGATCTCCTCCTTCACCAACCCAAGTGAACTGCAGTGGTGAAGTCCAGCACGAGACCTTCATCCACTAGTTGGCCGATAAAGGGATGTTCATGTATGTGCACAATAAAAATGCCTACGAGATATGAAGGTATACGATCAGGTGTAGCCAATATTTTAATCCCAATATTCCCATTGCACGTTCCATTGTGGGGCAATGGGGCCATTAGACCGAACGAAAGCTCTTCAAATGACGAAGTCATAGAATAAAACGTTCCTCTTCTGCCAATTAAAATGTACACAGGGAAAATTAATGCACCTCATTGTGTTAACATACTGATCAAAGTCAAACGTTAAAGTGTTTTTCTCTCGTAAATGAGTGTAATGTTTGTAGCTCTGAGCTATCGCTTGAAATTCCACATTCTCATGGCAGGAGTTAAGTAAGACATAGCTCAATCACTGTTGACGAACCACAAAGTGGTTCCCATGTCATTGTGACATGTAAATTGATCCCTAACAACAATTTTATCCTGCAACCATCTGATTTGAGTCACATGCTCTAACCATTGTGCCACCTAGATAGATGTACAAAAAAGTATCTTACTTTTTTTAAACCTCTATTACAGATTTTTCAAGATTTC